CTAATTATGAAACACAAAATATTGAGGATTTTGGAACACATTAATTTCATGTTTTAGAATACATCCCACCTTGAGACACTTACGCCTCATTTGGTTTCAGGAATAGGGGTTTGGAATCGGAATCCGAATGGATTATTCCGATTCAAATTATTTGGTTGGCAAAATCCCCCATTTAAGGGAATGCCCATTTTCTGTTCCTTTTTTGAGAACAAAATTTTCATTCCTTCTGATTCTAATTTATATTCTCATTTCTGTCTGAATCAAATTATAGGAATATACCATTCTGATCCCATTCTAAAAGATTTATATTCTGATTCCAATTCTAACTGTAAACCAAACAAACTCTTAATAAATATTGACTTAGGGTCCATCCACTTCATCGTCATAATGAGAATTGGAATAACCTATTCCCTTCCTAGAGATGGAGGTAGGGAGGCTTGGCATTGGGTTAAAAGAGAAATAGGGCTTGGGGGAGTGACTTATCCTGTTTTTGGATTGTTGGAGTAGGATTGTCATTCACATATGTTGGGAGGGCTGAAATGACCATTCCCTCAAATGGCAGAGTGATATTCCACCTAACCAAACAGCTTTGGCCATTTTCCTTCTGATTCCAAACCCTTATTCCTAGGAACCAAAAAGACCCTTAGTATATTTTGACAAAAAAAGTTTATATTTCAAACATTTATGCTTTGAAACACAACAAACCACCACAGTATAGAACATTACCAAAACTCTAATAAGCTCTAAAGCCTGTCCTATTAAAACACATCACAATGGACCTAGTAACTTAAAATCAAGGTTTTCAAACCATCGTTGACTCAGACGGTGGGACCGTTCAGCCCGGGAATCGTTCAGGCAAGTGATTCCTTTTTACCCCAAACTCGGTTTTAGACAAAAAATCACTGAAAAAGTCAATAACTTATTGATATGGACGATCGAACCGTCGACCTATTGACCCGTTCAACAGTTTTGACCATTTTTTATTTTTAATTATTATTATTTTAATTTATTTATTAGAACAGACCGTCCGTTTGAATTAGATGATCGAATCGTCGACTCAAAAAACAGTGGCCAAAATAATTCCGTTTCTGGGTCATTTTTTAAAACGTTACACTTCTTGGTATCACCATGGTACAAAACACCCCAGAAATGGCCGGTCATAACTCATCAAAAGATTAAAAAAAAACATTGAATAGGCCAACTTAGTTATATAACGAAGAGCTTAATAGAGAACAATTTAAAGCAAATTTCATAAATGATAAATCCAATGATTAAGACTAGTGAACATAGTAGAACACATGGAACTGGGTTTCATTAAAAGAAATAGGCAACAATCTTATAAGCAATTTCTAATACATAGCGGACATAGGGGCCTAGTGGGCTTCATATATTTAGATAAAACAACTTTTACAAACAATAGCAGCATTTGAGTTATTGCTAGAATTTTGTGCTTATGTGTTAGGGGAGGGGCGAGGGTACAAGGAGTTTATGTGTCATTGTCTTCCAAAAAAATATGTTGATATAATGCAGCTAAAGATGTTTGGAGTTACAACTATCCTTAACCAATTATCTATTATTTACATGGGACAAGTGAGAGGAGACTCTTGGTCCCCAACAGGAATTAAGGGTCTATTTGTTTTGTGTCTAGGATTGGAATCAGAATCACCTTATTCTTGATACCTATTTGGTTCAGTTGAAAATTAGGATTGGATTTCAATCCTAATGTCGGATGAAGGCTGGCTGACAACCACTCTTACCTTGTTGAAGATGGCGGTCAGCAGTGACCAGCGTTGGATGGAGGAAGACTTGTGATTATGCCAAGAATGGGAATAGGAATCCCATTTCAATTCCCATTCTAGGGGGCATATTCCTACTAACCAAACATATCCTAAAATGTATATAAATTGCTTTTGATTACTCAACACTTGGAAAGGTATCGTGAACTTATAATGTTTTAATTATGGTTGAACTTTTTAATAAAAACTACCATATAGAAGAATAATTTTTAAGAAAAGCTTTTGTCTGGAAACTCTGATTAAATGAATATTATACTTTATAGTATTTTTTTACTGCAAAAGAAGGGAAATAGGGCAGCCCAGTGCAATCTCTTAGGCTGTGTTTGGTGAGAGAGTAAATGTGGAACTGAAGCAAATTTACAATATGAATCAGTTTTGTGGGTACTTGATAATAATATATTTTTACACTGAAAATGAAAGTTTATTTGTTTTTTTTTTCACCAAATTTGCATTCAAAATGAAAAAAAAACAAAAAACTTTGCTTTCAAAATTGGTCATTGTAAAATAATTACGTTCCAACCTTGAGATTTGTGTTTGCACTTGTCACAACCAAACATAACATTTAAATTTATTGGTGCAAAACCAAACGATTTTGCACCCATATTCATTGAGCAAATATGCATTCACATCAATACAAATACGCATTACAAACAAACACAGATAGGTGGTATTTGCCAACATGGCCATTTTCTTATATTGGGGTGGTTTTCTCAAGGAAACAAACCCACATAAGTATTGTGATATCCCTTAAAACGATTTATTCACATATTAGTATCAGTAAAAAATGTTTTTGTTTGTCATTTATGTTCATATTTAGAGGTAAATTGTCCTACATATTTGTATATTAGATGAACAAAAGATATGCAAATTTGACAGAACTAGGCCACACTGAGTTGTTAACTTGTTTCTAGTGCTTGAAAGCTTGTTTATCTCACTTAAAAAGAAAAAATAAAGAATAGTTGAATAATCTCTCAGCTCCCTCAATTTGAAATGAAAACCCTAATTCCAAAATTTTCCTTTTTTTTACCCAATTGTTGAGTCATCTAACATGTCATGAGGGCTCCAGAGTCCAGACCATTGTATAGTGTTGCCTTTTAACCCTAGACCTAAAATATTGGACATTCAATGAACCATCCAAGCTGTGACAGTCACAATCATACAATGTGGGGCTTTATGAACCTCGTCCTTTTAGGCCTTCAAAGAAGGATGCATGAATTTCCTCAATTGGCATCAATATCAATTATATATGCAATAAATCTCAACAATTAATCCTTGCTTTTAATTTGATCAACAATTAGAATAAAAAACGGTCTTGATATTGAAATGGGTTCAACAGTATCAGGATTCAGGGGTGCTCACGGTTCATTAAAACCGATTTTTTTAATTGGTTTGATTAATCATCGATTTTCTTTTTTTAAATTAACCTAAACCGAACCAAAAATCGATTTTTTTTTTTAAATTAACCGGTTCGATTAATCGATTTTTTGGTTTAATTTTTTGATATCGGCCTATTTTTAGGTCTTTCACGAACAGCCCCCCTAAGCATTATGATGGGTCCATACTCCATTGCCGAGTTGCAGTTGCAGAGTCCATGGAGGATGTGGCCCACTGGTTTAATCAAGAATGAATCTAACACAATCGAACCCTACCAGATATTGAGGGCTGCTGCATTTTCAATTTTGGGACTAAGTAATGAAAGTTATCCGCTTAGCTTATATGGAAACAGCGACATTAATAGCTGAAAACTCCCCAGGAGGCAAGAGAAAAGAAGGAATGAACTGAAGAAGCCGGATTTTGAACACAAAATTCCATGATGGTTGATGGGTGAGATGGCATGGCTCCGGCGATTCGATACCTGATATACTCGTGACCCTGCATTAAATGCTCTCCGTTTCTTCTTCACGATCTGTATTTTGGAAGGACAGCTACAGGCTACAGGCTTCAGGCCCACTGGCCCAGCCCAGGGTGCTCTCGTTCAGGCAACTTCATTATATTTCGGTTGGGTCTTTCTAGATCCCATTTTTTATTCTTTTCATTTTTCATCTGAAATGGAAATTTATTTAAAAATAGAAGAAAAATATATAAAAAGACGAAAACGCCCATCTAAGGGTGAGAGAGTGGTAGGGCGCTCTGCTAAGTAATTACGTTAGGATGTGAGTGTCAAAATGGTAATTTTATTACTCTAGCGCCTGCTGAATTGGAAATCTCGTTTGCATACTCGACGCCGTAAATGAAGTTTTTATTTATTAATTTTTTAATTGAAGCTATTAACAGAGAAGAAAATACAGGAATCTGACGTGTAGGAGACGCTTGGTTTCACTGAGGAGTGGCTTCGTATAGGGAAACTGTTGGGAATGCTGAACTGGGATGAAAGATGTGGGCATGATCCAGATATCGCCATGTTTAGAATGAAATTGATTACAATCCGATGGTATTCTTGTCGAGTTCACAATCACGTAGAGTGAGTAACGCAGTACGTGATTCAGCTTAAATAAATAATAAATAGTCCAACTCCTCGAGAACGGAATAGAAAAGAACCTGTCTCTCTCTCTCCCTCCGGTTGCTACAAAGAATATTGCAAAACAGTACGGGCGCCACTAGAGTAGGTTGGCAAGAGAGAGCGGAAGAGTGTAAAAGGACGGCGTAAATGCCGGGATCCCGTGACTTTTCCGGCGAAGGGAGGGCTGAATCAGTTACTGAGTTTGTCTGCGTAAAAGAACGAGAGAGAGAGATAGATACCGGAGGTTTTTGAACTTTGAAGTTTGAAGAAGAAAACGGCCATTGACTAACGTAACGATCGTTTCTGCACAGTGTTATAGGTCAGCTGCATACCCATTTTTTACTATTTAGTATTAATTTATTTTTATTTAGTGGTGTTTTTATAGTTCTGATTTGAGTACAGATCCCTACGTCTGTCAAGGAGAGAGGAGAGATAAAACGAAAGAAAACAACGGAGAAAGATCCACGGATCTGAAATCATCTCTCTGTCTCTCTCTCCCACTGTTTTCTTACGGCTACGGGGAGTGAATAATAAAAATAATAAAATAAAAGGGTTTCTTACTTTGCAGTGAATAAAATAAGAGTTGTAAAAGGTACCTTTTTCACCATTGCTGGACAGAGAGAGAGAGAGAGAGAGAGAGAGAGAGAGAGTCAACCGACCCTTTTCTTCGCCTTGGTTTATGTATTTGTAAGGCTTCGAAGAGTCCACATAAGCGTTTATCTTCACCTTTGTTTTGTTCTTCTGTGTCACCCTTTTAGGGCTTTCATTTTCTCTTTCTATCTCTCTGACTCACTCTTTTTTCTAGTTGTCAGTCATGGAAGCTTAGGTAGTCAAGCATGCAGAAGAGGAAATATGAGAGAGCAAAGTAGGGTTTTTTTTTGTTCGCTCGACCTTTAAGTTTAATGGTTCCCTTATTTTTTGGTTCGCTCTACAGTCCGATAGGGTAAAGGGGGAGTGTGGGAGACGGGGAGAGAACGAAGTGCTAAGCAGCAATAAGGTTTTCATTTGCTTGCCTTCTTTCTCTTTCTTTCTCTCTTGAGCAACCTTTCTAGAGAGGGAGTTGGAGACATTTGGTTTAACCTTCTGTCTCCCTTTCCTCTCTATTTTTTTTTTTATTTTCTGTTCCTTTCTTCTTCCTCTTCTTCTTCGTCTTTGTCGTCGCCGTCGCCGTCGCCGTCGACCTGTTTTCTGGGGTGTTTTCCTGAGCTACCCGCTTCATTAATTTTCACTTCTTGCTTTTTCTCCTTTTACTCGGGCTTGGCTTTCTCGGTTGGTTAGTTGAAAAAGTAAGCTTTCTAGGCGGGATAAGACGGGTTTCAGTCACGGAGGTAAATCGGCGAATGTGGTTGCCGTTTCTGCATAGACTAGTGCTTGAAAGGTTGGAAAAGAGAGGAGGAAGAAATTCCAAGTAGACCCAAACAACTGATAAGAGTAGAGTTTGAAAGGGAAAAGGAAAACACAATAAGACAGCAAAAAAGGAGTTATTTTTGATGAGTTTTGGGGGTTTTCTTGATAGTGGTTCTGGTGGTGGTGCAAGAGTCGTGGCCGATATTCCTTACAGCAATATGCCTGCTGGTGCGATCGCTCAGCCACGCCTACTCTCTCCTTCTCTGGCCAAGTCTATGTTCAATTCCCCAGGCCTCTCTCTCGCTCTTGTATGATACTTTTTTTTCTTGCATTATATATTTTAAAGTAATTTTTAACCTCTATTTTTGTTCTGGGTTCTGTTTCAATTTTGCATCTATCATTCATTGTAGTTTTCAATTATACTGATCTCCTTCTCCGTTGATGAATTTTCGAGCAGAAAACTGGAATGGAGGGACAAGGCGAGGTGGGTCGGATTGGGGAGAATTTGGATACTGGTGCAGTGGGGAGGAACAAGGAAGATGGATATGAGAGCAGATCTGGAAGCGATAACATGGAAGGCGCATCCGGCGATGATCAGGACGGGGATAATAATCCGCCAAGGAAGAAGAGATACCATCGGCACACCCCACAGCAAATCCAAGAGCTCGAGGCGTAAGATATTCCTTCTTCTTTGCAATTTCCGTGTCTGTTTGCGTTTTACCAAACTGGATTGCTTAGTCTTTTTCTGTGATATTTGTTCCTTCAGTCTTTTCAAGGAATGCCCTCATCCAGATGAGAAACAACGGAATGAACTCAGCAAGAGACTTTGCTTGGAGAGCAGGCAGGTCAAGTTCTGGTTTCAGAACAGACGGACCCAGATGAAGGCATCTCTCTCTCTCCTTCTTCTTCTTCTTCTTCTTCTTCTTCTTCTTCATGTAGTGTTAACTTGTAAGTTTTAACCCCTATCTGTTTATCTTAAACCAGACCCAACTCGAGCGCCATGAAAACTCAATACTTAGACAAGAGAACGATAAGCTGCGAGCCGAGAACATGTCGATTAGGGATGCGATGAGGAACCCGATCTGCAGCAACTGTGGGGGCCCGGCAATGCTTGGCGACATATCTTTAGAAGAGCAGCACCTTAGGATTGAGAATGCTCGTTTGAAGGATGAGCTTGACAGGGTCTGCGCGCTTGCAGGAAAGTTCTTGGGCAGGCCAGTGTCGTCCTTGGCTACTTCTATCCCTCCACCTATGCCCAGTTCTAGTTTGGAGCTTGCCGTCGGTAGCAACGGCTTTGGTGGCCTGAACACTGTAGCCGCGACATTGCCTCTTGTGAGTGATTTTGGTGGGGGTGTTTCCAGTGCGTTGTCGGTTGTGCCGCCGGCCAGGCCAGCTGCTGGTGTGACGGGTCTCGAGAGATCACTAGAGAGATCAATGTTTTTGGACCTTGCATTGGCTGCCATGGATGAGCTGGTTAAGATGGCTCAGACCGACAAGCCCCTTTGGCTCCCTGGTCTTGATGGAGGGAAAGAAACACTCAACCACGAGGAGTACATGCAGACCTTTCCTCCATGTATTGGACTGAAACCTTCTGGGTTTGTCACCGAAGCCACACGGGAGACTGGTATGGTTATCATCAACAGCTTGGCTCTTGTTGAGACGCTAATGGATGCGGTAACCGTCCAAGCTTTTCCTCCAGTATTTCCGATATTTTTGCTGAAATTCATCATTCATCATATCTGGGAGATTACTTCCGATGAGAAAGATGATCAAGAGTTTTGCCTTTTCGAGCATAATTTACAAGGATCACCTTGATCATCTCTTGTTATTTTCAGTCGATGAATTAACCCATTGTGATGGAAAATTTCTCGGTTGCCACCTGCTTTTTACTAAGGTTTCTATGCCATAATTTTTCTTGGTAGTTGGTTTAATGGGTATGCTGGTGCTGAATTTTTCTTGTGGACTGTTTGTTTGTTTCCATTTACAGAGCCGATGGGCAGAAATGTTTCCATGCATGATTGCGAGAACCTCCACCACCGAAGTTATATCAAGCGGGATGGGCGGAACCAGAAACTGTGCACTTCAGCTGGTAAGTAATGTAGGAGGCAGGAATGGAAAAATGAAAACTTTGTTTCAGTTCACAATCTAACATCTTCTTTTAAGGGCTGTTTGGAGTAAATCACTTCTTGCTTTGCAGATGCATGCGGAGCTCCAAGTTCTATCTCCGCTTGTTCCAATCCGGGAGGTCAAATTCCTAAGGTTCTGCAAGCAGCATGCAGAAGGGGTGTGGGCTGTAGTGGATGTGTCAATCGACCACATCCTCCGAGAAACCTCAAATGAACCCGTTTTTGTGAGCTGCAGGAGGCTTCCATCCGGCTGTGTTGTGCAGGATATGCCCAATGGTTACTCCAAGGTGATAAGCCCTAAACTGAACAACTCTTGGTCCCCCCACCATATTTTGATTTCGCTCCAGCTTTAATTTATTCGCCTCTCCTCCCCAACTGGGTATGCCCCCTTGATTTTTGCCTACAATGAATTCCTCTATCTAACTGCCATTCTGGGTTTTGAGGCCGTTTGATAAATGCTCAAGTGGCTGAACTGAACGACTTACTGTCTACAATCTGATTCACTTGTTCACTGAAAGGACAAGGCAATAAGTAATACAGTTCAGTCAGATAAGCTGTTTTCAAGTGAAGTGCATCTGGATCTGGTCTAAAAATCTTGAGCCCTTGGAACTCCCCAGCTCATTTCATTAAGCTCCCCCCGCTTCAAATAATTTTGTTGGGTCTGGTGATTTGCCCACTTCACTGCTCTCTCTCTGGCGTTCAGAAATTTTATTATTTTCCGAAGAATCTGGACCTGTTTACTCAGAAATTTTTTAACGTCCTAAGATGCTGCATCAGTGAACTTTACAAAAAAGAAAGTTTTCCAAACTTCAACGCCAAGGTTCCATGGTGCAACAGTGTCTTTTCTCCCAAATTAATTTTTTTACTTGCATTGTACATGACCAAAATCGAGGTTACCCACATTTTTATATTAATCGAAGCCTCTATTACTATTTGTTTCTGCACCTCGAACACATTAATTTCGTAGCCTTTTTCTCTGGGTTAAACCTTGTAGTCTTCAACTTGTCAAGTTTAATATGTTTTTGATGTTTCTATTCCCATCTTTAGTTCTCTCTCTCTCTCTCTCTCTCTCTCTCTATTCCTATCCTATCCTATTCTCATAGTATTTTTTTATTGTTTAAAATAAAACGTTGTCAAAACCAAGCCAAGAGATGAGACCATGGATGATGAAACTGAGCATTACCTGGTTCCAGCTTCGAGCCCATATATCTCGTAATTGTTTTGTCACTCCGTGAAGACCTTCTGGTCAAGCTTATAGACCGTGGCCATCGTGCAAATTTCTTCTTATTTCCTTTTTATTTATTTATCATAATATGCTGTTCAAATCTCGATACATTGTGCCTTGAACTATCTACCTCATCTGACGCCCTTTCCCAACGGAAGCTCTATTTTGGGAAATATTATTTTATTTCTGTCGCGCTTATGGCCAATGTCTTAGCAAACCCAATTGAATTTTTGATAATTTGTTTAATGATGTTCCACAATTGATGACTCTTTTTTCTCTACCTTTAGCTATCTACATGAATAAAAAAGTGAACTCTCGCTATCTTTCTTGATCTGGAATTTGATTTGTTCACTGAGACGTGTGGTAAAAACGATTGAAATTTTTTAAACAATTCATGAAAGTTCTATTTAGTGTACGCATTTGGTTTTATTGTAGCGGGTTGATGGTTAACTTGGAAGGGGTAAAAACACAGGTGACTTGGGTGGAACATGGTGAGTACGACGAGAGTTCTATTCATCAGCTTTACCGCCCCTTGCTGAGAGCTGGTATGGGCTTTGGTGCTCAGAGGTGGGTAGCCACCCTACAGCGACAGTGCGAGTGCTTAGCCATCCTCATGTCGTCTACTCTCCCGGCAAGAGATCACACTGGTATGTTGTTTTTCTCTACCTAATTGTAATTTCATCGAATATCTACCGGCCTGCCTCCTGCTGCTTTAAATCCGAGCTGATTGTATTAGATAACAACCCTACAGCGATAACCCCAAGTGGTCGGAGAAGCATGTTGAAGTTGGCACAACGAATGACTGATAACTTCTGTGCTGGGGTATGTGCGTCTGCGGTTCACAAGTGGAACAAGCTGTGTGCGGGGAACGTGGATGAGGACGTGAGGGTGATGACCAGGAAGAGCGTGGACGATCCAGGGGAGCCTCCTGGTGTGGTGTTGAGTGCTGCGACGTCGGTTTGGCTGCCGGTATCGCCTCAGCGACTCTTCGATTTCTTGAGGGACGAGAGGCTGAGGAGTGAATGGGACATACTATCGAATGGAGGCCCCATGCAGGAGATGGCCCACATTGCAAAAGGCCAGGATCATGGCAACTGCGTCTCCCTTCTTCGTGCTAGCGTGAGTCCTTCATCCCATCCCTCTTGTTCCAACTTTCAACTTGTAAATTTGATCGTATCGCGTTGTGTTTCCCTAGTCCCTACGTCCCGTACCGTAGTTCTTTTGTCTTCTTTTGGATGGTTGTGTGAATTTCAAGAAGGTTGGGATGCGGGATTCATCTCTTAGAACACAGTGCGATGGACCCGGTTTGATTTTGCCATCTTCTGAATGAAAAAAGTCAAAAATAAAGGGGTCGCCTGTCACCTTTCTGATTCATTTCTGACGTCAATTGGATGAAAGCTGCCCCCATCTTTCTCGTCCTCTCTCTTATCTGCTGGGTTTTGACTTTGTTTTTCTTCACTGTAACAAACCAACTGATTTCTCCGTATAGATGGTTCCCCTGAAAAGTTTCTCACCTGCAATTTTTACAACTTTTTCCTTCTTTTTCACAAAAATTTTAACTTCTTCCATTGGCGATGCAGGCTATGAACGCGAATCAGAGCAGCATGTTGATACTGCAGGAGACCTGCATCGACGCTGCTGGGTCCCTGGTGGTGTACGCTCCGGTTGACATTCCAGCCATGCATCTAGTGATGAACGGCGGTGATTCCGCGTACGTGGCACTGCTGCCCTCGGGATTTGCTATTGTACCAGATGGTCCCGGATCACGTGGTCCCATCAACAGCAACCATCACCACACTAACGGCAACGGAAGCTCACAGAGGGTGGGTGGGTCGCTACTGACGGTGGCGTTTCAGATACTAGTCAATAATCTGCCGACGGCTAAGCTCACCGTGGAGTCCGTTGAGACCGTCAACAACCTCATATCTTGCACGGTGCAGAAGATCAAGGCCGCCCTTCACTGCGAAAACTGAGAGACAGTGAGGAGAGTGAAGGTGCGGGTGCTAATAAAGGATTTTACGTAAATAGCTATTATCCTTGTATGTAGAATAGTAGTTATTATTATATAGGTAAAGATAGGAGGGGGAGAGAGAGGAAAATCAGTGAAGGGTCAAAAGATTAAAGAGAGAGAAAGGGGTTTGGTGTTTGGGACAATGCTCGCAACGGGGGGTTGAGTCAAGAACGAACCGCGCGTCGAGAATCCTTGCAGGGTGGTGAGGACAAAAGCTATCCCAGGTTTCTGTGAAGCAGGGATTTTCACCGTGTTCTTAACACAACGCAAGGGTGGTGGTTCGGGTATTGACTCGTCGACCCGCGAGGAGGTGTCTCAACTTGAATGAAAAATAGTCAAAACAAAGAACAGAACAAAAGGAAATGAAGAAACAGGGGACCTCTTGTTAGTAGTAGTAGTTGTTTTATTCTATTTTATTTATTTAATCTTTCTCGATTCTGTTGCTTTTCGTTAAATTTTCGACTTTCGTCGTCTGTATTCATAGATAGACACAGCTGTTAGCTGGGTATAACTGGTTTCTTTCCAAAGTAATTTGGGCGATGTAAGAGGCCGTCTGGTGTGAGGGGGAAACTCGGGAATTGGGGGAAAGGCCAATTTAGCTTGCAGCCGGGGACGGGATGAATAATGGTGAAAGCGCGCCGCTGGGCGACGGAGTTGGGGCTAATGTGCAATAAATGAGATCGTCGTCGGTTGCGACCGTGGAGTAATGTGTGTCATTAAATTGTGGTTGGCGATATGTGAGCGTACAGCAGCTAATAGTCCAAAGGCGAGGTCATTTCGATTGAAATGGATCCGGTTTGCCCCCAAGCCATGCAACGAGAGACAAAAAAAAATGGCGCGGATCCGACTATCGGAGTTTGCTTTCTTTCAGGGGCAATTCCTTTATTTGTCAGGCGTTTGCTCCTTTTTATTTTTATTACTTACACGTGTCGTACATGCTGCTCTTCAATGGACACCCTCATACTTGAGAGGTTTCTAAGGTACGATCCAGTGGGAGATCATAATATCATATATTACCTCTCAAACTCCTCAATAGCGCATTAGGAACATTTGGCACAAGTAGAGTAGATGTTCATGTTGAGATGTGCTAATGTGCATTTAGGGCATATGGATGTAGATTTTTCATTTTTTATAATTAGTGGTGGCAATTGGGTGGGGTGGGGTGGGGTGGGTTGGGTTTGGGTTAAGCTTCAACCCAATTTATTTAACCTAGTAATTCATTAATGATTCAGTTATATAAAATTAAATGGGTAGGGTTCAATCTAAATTTGTCTTAACTCAATTTAATCTGCTCAAATTTATTAATCTTATATTTATGTATTTAAAACAAAAAACAAATTTTCGCTTGACAAATAAGTTGGTCATAACTTGGTTGTAACAATAGTTATTTACACTAGTGGTGAATGTTCAAATCACATTACATGCATCTTATTTTTACACAAGTGGAGAAGTTATTTGATTGTTCGGGTTTGATCGGATCACTTAGGTTCAAACCGGTCAGACCAACTTAAATAATCTATTTGGATTGTCTTTGAGTTAATCACATCAAGAGTGATTGAACCATTTGGAATTTGGATCACTTTGGTTGGACCAGACCGGGTCGGTTCAATCAATGACGAATTGACTTGGACCAACCTATATCAGGTTGTGCATAGGTCTGGAACCAAACCAACAGGTCCGAAGCGGGTCAAGGGATGCAAATTGGCCCGGTCCAAATTTGGGTCGAGTTGTGTGTTCTGAATAGAATCCAAGCAAGTAACCAAAATTTGGGTCGGATCGTGCTAGGTCGGGGCCAAACTAGTATGTCTGGGACCATTTCAGAATTGGGTCAACCCAGATCGGCATGATCTGGATTGGGTTGGGTTCGGATTGGACTGACCAACCCAAACGAACTGAGTCGAGTTGATTGGGTCTATTCATATTTAGATCGGGTTGAACTGGCTCGAACTTGGGTCGGGTTGATTTGGATTTATGTCGATTTGGGTGAAATGTGTTGAATCAAGGTAAAACTAATTTTAATAAATAATTAATAGAAATTTAATGCAATAATTATAAATTATTTGAGTCAAATGAAGAAAATTAAAATAAAATGGTTGTGAAGTTAATACTTGTATCTTTAGTGGTTAACCCAATGATTATTCACAACTCAACCCGACGCATCCCATTTAAAGTAACCAAATGGATGATCAACTCATTTCCAATCCACCAAATAAATGGGCGGACCGGGTGGATTGAGCGGGTTAGGTGAGAAATTGCCACCCCTACTTACAATTCATCCATTTCGTGCTTTAATAATTCACTTATATTAGTTTGGAAGGAGTACGAATACAAGTAAAATTTTGTAGTGGATGTCGTACACATGGATGTAGAATTTTCATTTCTTACAATTCATCCATTTCGTGCTTTAATAGTTTACTTATATTAGTTTAGAAGGTGTACAAATACAAATATGTAGAGTACAAAATCTTGTCTTTTGTATTATTTGTATATGTTTATACTGTGCATATTTGTATTTTTGCTCCTTCCAAATTGAGCCTAAAAGGAATACATATTAAAATATGTAGAGTGCAAAGCATTGCATTTTGTATGTAATTGTACTATACACATTTGTATTTGTACTCTTCCCAAGTCATTTATTTGGGTAGATGTGTTTATTCAAGTAAATGTTTTTTAGGAAACACTTTGTTTGCAGTTGTTATTGATTTTCTGTTTTTCATGTAAAGTTATACAATGATCATTTATTTATAAAAGTGTCATAATTAATTGAAGCAATATTTTAAAAAACCAACCTGGAATCAAAACTACTTTGGCCATTGATTTCTGGGTCAGTGGTTTGACCATCCGATCCAAATAGACATTCCATTGTAATTTTAAAAAATAAAAAATAATTAAAACAAAATGGCCTGTTGTTCAGGTCGACGGTTCAATCGCTCTAGTCAATTACTGTATGGCTTTTGGGCTGAATGATTCAACCATCTGGATCAAAGATGGTTTGAAAGCCATGTATTGAAGGGACAATGATTGTCCCACCAAGTATTAGCAATTTTTCAAACATATGTGAAAGTGATTTACCCAAGTCTCAAGAAGATATTATTTACTCAGGTAAATGAGTTGCTCGAGAATTGTTATTTTTCATAGGATTCGAAAATACCAAAACACAAATGCAAGTTTCTTTCCTTTTTGTGTGACCCACCAACTTACTTGCCTCCATATAGTGGCAGATCAAGGACGTTTAGGTTTGTGGATGGATGTCCACTGGAGAAGAGGAAAATTGTCATTTTTAGGTTTGAGGAGACGAAATAGAGAGATGAGATTGAGTTGTTGAGGGATGCAAAATGGGGAAAAAAACAAAAGGACAGAAAAAAATAAAAGTTAAAATCCTAAATCCCAAATTTGATGGAATAGAGACATGTGCCATTCTTGTATATTTTTTCTTTATTTCCAACCTATTCACCTCTAAAAAAGTGATTTTTTAAAGAAGCCAAATTTTATTTGACCCCCTACTATTTTATTTTTTGTGGAGGGCAATTGCAAAAGTATTTAAGTTTCTTCATAATTTTCAAAGTTTTATAAAAACACTTTTCAAATATCAATGGGAGCAATTGCCCACACTAACTTCTACATAGATCCGCCACTTCCCCTATTTACTAGAAAGCGTGCATGCCCTAAATCATAGATTTTTCTTTTTTAATTTTTTACATTATTTAATTCCTTATTTTGTTATAAATTATTTATCACAAAATAAAAAAATCAAGGTTTTTTATTTAATTCAAGGGTTATTAAGGAATGGAAGTTTTTAATTTTTATTGTTTGAGATGAGAATATTATTGTACGGTTGGGTTCAAGTAAATGTTTGATCGATGTTGGGTCAAAGCTCGGTTGAAGGATTATTATTTGGGACTATAATCAAGATTTTAAGTATGTGAAATATATAGTGTCTGGGTCATGGCTGAGCTGATCCTGAGAGACACATGGCCGCCTAGCCATCGCCCGACCACGTCGGCGTAGCTCGGCCGAGCTACACTATTAATGTGGCCCCCTATCTTATCCTTTCAACCACGTCAGCTACACGGCACACGGATGAGCACAACTACGGATAAATAGGAGTAAGAAAGACGACTCCGCTGGGGAATGTGACTCTATCTCGAATTCCTCGACGGCTAATCTCATCCCAACAACCCTGGAAGCCCAATCCGAATAGAACACTGATTTTCGGCTATAAAAAGGTACTCCATGCTCAAGGTAAAGGACCCCAACTTTTGACACCCGTACTTCTATTATGCTCGGACCAGCATCCCAGTATATCTCGGCCCGACCATCCATCACCTCCTACTGACTTGAGCGTTTGAACAATATACTTGGGGATAATTCCCCGGGCCTTTGACTTGTCCTTTTTTTTATCACAGGTTTTGAAGCGCGGCCTCATCCTTGTAGCTCAACACTGCTCTGTTGGCAATGACTATCTGATTGCTCTCCTCAGTTCGTGCACCACCTCAGATTGAACAACATCACAGAGTATGAAAGACAATTTTAAGATATGATTGTTTCAAGGAAAAGACTTGATCTTAATCAAAGAAAGACATGAGATGCGATTGTTTGAAATATGAAAATGAATGAATCATCATAATCATCTAAGGAGTTGTTTGATAAATGACTGAATTAAAAGTTTATTGTTTTGCCTAATAAGTTTTTAAGAGGTTATGGGCCCTTTAATGGGTGAAATTGAGGTAGATAAGACTATATTATACCCTTAAATACTTTATTAATTAATTATTTTATGCACCAAAGGAAAAAAAAACAAGTTGTTCAGTGTTCATCAAATTCAACTACAAATGGCCCCTAAGCTTTGTGTATATAGGGTTTGTTAAATTATCTTACTTGCCATATGAAATGTTAGGGAACTTGCATTAATATGCATATCTTAATTCTTAGGAAAGCAATGTAATTTATATTAATATTTATAAATCTATAATTTATAAAAATCAATTTTTACATTTATTGGAACACGGTGCGTTGGTAGATTTGTTGTATTTTAACCAAAAGATCAAAGATTCATAATATGTTCGTAGTTGTAATTTTTTCACCAAAATTATATAGGTTAGTGGGTTTGACTATGATATGAAAAAGATATGATATTGAAAAAACAACTGACCAATAAATTGAAATCATAAGCGTGATAATAAATAAAGTGTTATTTATCAAAATTTATGGGTGAATTTTGATTGGTCAAAGCTCTTTCCATATCATATCTTTTCTAAATCATAGATTTTCCCCTAAAACAATAGAGTTTAATGTAGGAAGGATAATAACTATGAGGGTTTGTAGTGAGATATAGTAGATGAGCAATAACTCTCAATAGTTTGAGTTTGAGTAAGTCTTGTCATCTCTTGTTTGAATAGCAAAGCCTCATGATAAGAATAACTATCCAAGACAATCGAGGTCTCTACTCTCTAGTTTGGTAAACAAAGATATCAATAATCCAATCGAGGTCTCTACTCTCTACTCTCCACTCTGCCTTGATCCCAATTGTATATATTAAATATATATTATTATATATATGATAAATATTTATATATTTTTCAAAAAATTCTGTTATCTAAAAAATTTGAGGATTCGGGTCCTCGCATGGAACCCATCCCCATCAGGGATTGGGAATGAAAGACTATTTTTATCCTTGGTGGGGATAAAGAATGAGA